AGCAAGCAGTGGTCTCTGCATTGGCAGCACTCTGGAGCAGAAAGCAGGAAGGCCCACAGGTCAGGCAGTCTGTCAGTTTGTGCTGGGTGAATCCAGGGCTGGGCCTCAGGGAGCTGTGAGCCCTCTGCCCACACAGGAGCCACGTGCCAGGCCATGGCTTTGTTAGAGTCCAGCTGTCACATGGGCTTCACAGGGTGGTGACAATAACCGAGCTGGCCATGCCTGTGTCTTTGCAGAATATCTCCACCTTCCTAGATCTATTGTGTCCCCACAGCACAGGGGGGCAGGGGGATGCATATGAAACCAGAGAAGCCAAGTGACTTGGCCAAATCGGTGCAGAGTGGAGAATGGAGGCCTCTCAGAGTTTGAGGTTGTCTGTGCTTCCTGCCCCCACCCCTGAGCTGTGTTCCCTCTCTTTGTTTTGGCACAGCCTACCTAGGACCCACTGCCAAACTCACTGCTGTCAAGTTGATTCTGACTCAGTGACCCTGTAGGACAGAGTAGAACTGCCCCATAGGGTTTCCAAGGCTGTAAATCTTTACAGAAGCAGACGACTGCCACATCTTTCTCTCATGGAGTGGCTGCTGGGTTCGAACCATTGACCTCTCCATTAGCAGCTGTCTTAGTTATCTAGTGCTGCTATAACAAATGCCACAAGTGGATGGCTTTAACAAACAGAAATTAATTCTCTCACAGTTTAGGAGGCTAGAAGTCCAAATTCAGGGTGTCAGCTCCAGGGGGAAGGCTTTCTTTCTCTGTTGGGTCTGGAGGAAGGTCCTTGTCATCAGTCTTCCCCTGGTCTAGGAGCTTTTCAGCACAGGGACCCAAGGACCGAAGGACATGCTCTGCTCTGGGCTCTTCTTGCTTGGTGGTAATGAGGTACCTCTCCTCTCTACTTGCTTCTGTCTTTTATATCTCGAAAGAAATTGACTCAAGATACAACCTAATCCTATAGATTGAGTCCTGCCTCATTAACTGCCTCTAATCCTGCCTCATTAACATCATTCAATAACTCATTGCTGTTGAGTCGATTCCGACTCATAGTGGCCCTGTAGGACAGAGTAGAACTGCCCCATAGAGTTTCCAAGGAGCTGCCGGTGGATTCCAACTGCTGACCTTTTGGTTAGCAGCTGTAGACTTAAGCACTGTGCCATGAGGGCTCCATTAACATCATAGAGGTTAGGATTTACAACACACAGGAAAATCACATCAGATCACAAAATGGTGGACAACCACACAATACTGGGGATCAAGCCAAGTTGACACACATTTTTGGGGGACACAAGGCAATCCATAACAGCAGCTGAGTGCTTAACCACTGCACCACCAGGGCTCCTGGCCTACCTAGAAAATGCTGCTAAAAACCATGGGTATACCATTGACTTCTCTTTCAGAAAGCTGGTCATTTCTGATTGTCCCGTTTCTCTCATGGCTTGCGGAGGAGAGGAAGGCTGGTTGCCCTGGCAGATAACAGTGTTTGCACTGGGAGCTGGTGAACGGGGGTGTGACTGCTGTGCCTGTTCCCCGAGCAGACATCCCAGGGACAGGGGAGGGTTACAACCCATAGTGATGAGGTCCTGATGTCAAAGCCTCACTCACTCTAAGCTCAGCCCTGGGGTTGGGGCAAACAGCAATTCTGGTGATTCATCCTTCTGGGCTTCCTTGTTGCCCTGTTATAAACACCAGTCTCCTTTGGGTGTCTGGCTTATGAGTATCAAATAACTGGGTGCAGTGATGTGGGAGCAGCGTGGGGGGTGGCAGTCCTACCTGGTGTAGAAGCAGGACCCTGATGTAGGGAGGAGAGGACTGTCCTTCCTGCCCAGCAGACCCCTTTGGGGTTCTGTCCACAGGTTCTGAAAGCACAGCTGGGCACCTGCAGAGCCTCGGGGGCCTCAAGGTGCTTAGAGCCACACCCACCACTGACTGCAGGAGCCCTGCCACGGGCATTCACCTGCAGCACTTTTAACTTTGAAAATCCCTCTCCGTCTCAGGCCCGGACTACATGAATTCTGAGGTACCTTATAGGTCCTTCCTTGTGGTCGCTGACACCATACCTGCGTCTTCTCTGTGGTGCTTGGCCCGTAGGGGGTGGCATCCAGCCCTGCCTTGGCTCTGGGGAACCACTAGGTGCTCCATTTTTATTTTAGTTTCTCATCTATAAAATGAGACAATCATACACGTGATTATATATGTGGGAAAGATATAACATATGGGGAGATAATACACGAGTAAGCACAGGTAAGGGGTGTTATCACCTGACAGCCTAAGGCTGGATGGAGTTCAGCCCTGCCCCTTGTGAACCAGCTGCTTCTCCGGCAACAGGGGCTCTTTTATGGGATGCATTTGACTTGAGCTGTCATATGCATGCGCGGTTCTGAGAAGGAAGGGACATCCTACCACAAAGCTCAGCTAGGGAGGCTTTCTGCTTCTGCCCTTTGGCTTTTCTCTCCCACCCATGAAGCCCACTGTCGGCTTCTCCTACCAAGGAAAGGCTTGGTACTTCCCGGGGCGGGGCGGGGC